ATATTGATTCTAGGAAATCTACTTCGGGGTATTTGATGACTTTTGCAGAAGGAGCTGTGGCATGGCAATCCAAATTACAAAAATGTGTTTCTCTCTCAACTACCGAAGCTGAATTTATTGCCATTACAGAAGCTTGCAAAGAAGAGTTATGATTGAAGAAATTTTTGCAAGAGTTGGGTTTAAAGCAAGAAAAGTATGTGATTTATTGTGATAGTCCAAGTGCTATTCACTTGAGTAAAAATTCTACTTTTCATTCGAGATCGAAACACATTGATGTGAGATACCACTGGATTCGTGATGTGTTAGATTCGAAATTGTTATAACTAGAAAAGGTTCACACAGATGATAATATTTCAGATATGTTGACAAAGACTTTGTCGAGGGACAAACATTTAAAGTGTCGAACTTTGGCGGGTATGGTTGATTTTTCCACCTAAGTCGGTAGGGGGAGAATTGTTGGGTATACCTCCTTATTGGAGTGTGGGACCCAATTGGTTTTGGAAAAAGAATTTTAATTTGGTTTGGTTTAAGTATAATATATTTTTATATATTATATTTGTGGAGACCCAATTCAATTTAGATACAATTAGGGTTTGATTACAAAACCCAAGATTTAATAATATATATATATATATATATATATCTAATATATATATTGTTTTGTACTTAAAAAAAAAAAAAAAATGGACGGCGGCTACAAACACCTTTTCCGAAGTACTGCGGCTGATTTGTGTGGGTAGGCGCTGGGTTAAATTCGGCAGCGTGTGGATTGGCTTGGTTCGGCTTTCGGTTCTGTTTTGGGTGCATTATTTTGGGTCTTCTACAACTCTAGTTTTGAAGATTTTTGTTCATCTATTTAGTGAGGTCTTTCCTCTTTGTTTATTTGTGATTATTTGAAATTCACCTAAGGGTGGTTTGTGAGACCATTCGTGTCTCTTTTGTAATCGTTTGGAAACTATTTGGTTGATAGTGGAATCGGATTTCGATCTCGTGGACGTACCTTACATTGAGGGAACCACATAAAAATTCTTGTGTTGCTTTTGATTTAATTTTTTTGCATTAGTTTTTATTCCCATTGATTGATTTACTTGTGGGGAATTACATATTTTCCCTAACAGAGTCACCACTGCAAATTTCGAAACCAAACAGTTCGAGATTCAATTACAGAAGTACGAAGTGATTCATATACACACAAATGCGTGTATATATACATATGTATGTAATCGATACAACTAGAGAGAGAGAGAGAGAGAGCTTTATCGGAATCAGATTCGCCGCTAGAGGAGGCGAGGATTGAGAAAGTTGAGCGTGGTTTGAATTTGATTTTAGTGAATCGAGTCCAAAACAACTCCAAAGAATAACCCAGGTATGATTTCATCGCAAGTGAACAAAAACCAGATTCGAAGCTGGTTTGATGCGAGTCGCGGATGAATTCAAGAGCAAAAGTCATGATCTTGAACTGAAATCCAGATTCGAAGTCGAAGAGTGACCTGTGAAATTGATTGATCGAGCTTCAATCAACGACGAATCAAGACCCAAATTACCCTTGTGAACTCGAATCACCCATGTTCATCGAACTGGAGTTGCGTAGAACTTCAAATTGCAACTGTGAAGAGAGAGAGAATGAAGACAACAATGATGTTTGGCAGTTATGAGGAGGTCTTGGAAGGATAAATTGAGTTATTTAAAATTAATGGGACTTAAAGGAGCAAATAATTTTATTTAGGATTTCATGGAGCATAAGTTCACAAAATGGAACTTGTATGTAAATACCCCTAAAATATTATACTTAATATTAATTTTTACTTATTTATTTTTATCTTATATTTTTTTTGCTCATATCTTATATCTTAAAATTCTTATTAAGTATAAATTGTTATCCATAATATACTATGGCGGTGTTTGGGAAGGATTTTTTTTAGTTTTTTTTTTTAGTTTTTTTTACTAAAAGATAAATTGGTTACAAAATAAAAAAAAACAAATACAAACAAAATATCACATCAAATCCCATAATTATTTTACTTTTTCTTTCACAAACATCACATCCAACCACAAAAATACTCAACTATTTTCCTAAACACAAAAAAAAAATTCTCCAATAATATCCTACAGCTAAAAAACCTACAAAAAAAACTCACTTCCCAAACACCCACTATATTATTCATAATTTTTATTAATATTTTTATTCTTTAACTTATAAAATTAATCCATTTCTTGTCCCGCACCCACCACTCCTGATTTGTCGCTTCCTTAATATGATAAGGGACGAAAGTAAATTACTACAAAAGCCTATTTTGTCAATTAGGTTAAAAGTTAGCTTTTTAGTTTTTTGGCTTTTTTGAGTCACATCACCTCTTTATTTTTTTATGCATTATTTAAAAAAAAAAAAAATCAAATGTCTGACTTTTAACCTACTTCGAAAATAACTCATCCCAAGCCCAACCTGTAAAGCAAAGGACTTAGAGTAAGGAATGAAGGTGAGTGTAATATAGTAACTTCATTTATTCGTTAATTTATTAAGATGACTGTTGCTCCTTTGTCTCTTCCAATTTCTCTTTCGGTAGCTTCTAAAAAAAAAAAAAACTCTTTATATCCATTGTTTAATTAAAGAATTTAATCAAAACCTCTTCATAATAAAATTTCATACATTAAGTACAAACATATTTTTTTTTTTTCAAAAGTCTAGCACACATCATTATTATCAAAATATTCTTAGTAAGTAATTTAAAATTTTAAAAAGATATAACTTTTTATCTAAATGTCGCTTTTAATAAAATTAGTATTTTTAGAATTTTCTTATCAATATCTATCAAACAAGTTTTATGTTGGTTATGAAATTCTTTTAAAAAAATAAAATATAATTTTTACCATCGAAATTAATGTCAACGGTAAAATTTTACTCTATCTGACAGTAAAATTCAATTCTGATTTACAATAATATTACTGTAAAATTTTAATTTTTAAATACTAAAATATTATCATCAACACTAAGCACTGTAGTCACTATAATAATTAACAAATAAGGGAGTTTTGGCAAAAGTACGTCTACCGTCATTTATAAATAGATTGTCCCTAAACAAAACCTAAATAAAATTTTTGCATCACAAAAATGGTCCAAGGAGAGGGTTTTGGCCAAAAACACCCTTTTTAATTCTGCTACCTTTAAAAAAAAAAATTTAAAAGTATTCTATCTCCTTACACTGCAAAATTCCACTCATACCCTTATTTCTCTTTTTTCAAAATTTTTATCCCTAATATTTCTCTTTTTTAAAATGAAAATAAGTCAAATTTTCAAGCCAAAATATTCTGAAGTGAACAAAATCTAACACAAATTTTGATACAAATAAATGTAATTTATCTTTCTAAATATAATAAGTTTTATACATATATATAACATTTATTGTATGAATGAAGATAAAGAGAATTTGGACATGTTTAGTGGAAACAATATAGAAACACTTTTCTAGTTTTCAAAACTATCTAATGAATAGGTGCCAAATTCAATCTCTGATTTATTATGTTTGTAGAAACTACCCAATATATTTGGCAGGAAAAACAATTATTCACTGTCGCACATGATAATAATGTAATCGTACCACAAGTAGATCTAAATCGCCCATTTACATAGATTTATAAATAAATAGTTTAAATCTATTTTTGAAACGTCCACTTTTGACATGAAAAATTTTGTGACAAAAGACAATTCTTGGTGATGTTTAATTGTTATGGTCCAAGACCCGTGAGTCTGTTTAGCAAATTAACACAATGTTAAGGCTGTCTATCTTTCTTGGCAACCAGCTTCAGAGATCTTGTGTAAGAACAATGTTAAGCCCTATTTTCTTCTCTTACATTTGACCTAGCTAGGTCGTTTGCTTAGTTTGGTTTGGTTGTTTTTCCTTGTCCCATGTTGACTATTTGAAGCCTTTGAATGTTGTTTCCATGTACATATCTGAATCCCAATAGCAATTGTATATAACATTGTAATGTGTTTGGACTGGGCAAATTCACAAATTAACAAAGATTTGGTGCTAAGTTGTGGGTACACATGCTCATTCTCAAAATGAAGTTCCCTTTCACATGTACAAGTAGGCAAACTATAATTAGTTACATAAAACAAAGAGTAATGATATGCAAACATGAAAAAAAGAGTACATGTTCTTGATACTTTTTGATTTAATTCCGTGCATGTGAACTTTTTTTGTGGGTGAATCGTGCATGTAAACTTGTAGCTAGAAACAATGATTAAGCTTTCACCTTGTACATGGTATAATTTCTATCGAGCACTTAACATAGTACTGGTGATTTCATTGCCCGTAGTTGTCGCTTCCTTGCTTGACGAAGAACCAGTCCGAAGAATATTTCTTGCAGTGAAGAAGCCAGGTTGTTTGGCTTAAGGCAATGCAGCTTCACTGCCCAACATCAGAACTACAGATGACATGCTTGGCCTATCTTTTAGACTTTCTTGCACACATAAAAGACCAACATGGATTGATCGCAACATTTCAATTTGGTAGCATGAGTCCCATAGAGCCTCATCAATCAATTCCAATGACTTGCCTTCTTCATAGAGTCTCCATGCCTGAATAATCCACTACAATATTAGCAGTACAAGACACAAAATCCTCTATCTCAAAATTTCTTTGTTCTCTTTTCTCAAGACACTCACAGTTAGATTACGCCCCAAGATACCCGTACCTCAAGATTCTCAAGGATCCAATGAATGAGTGTTTCAGAACAGAAGGAAAAGATAATTTAGGAATAAAGAATCTTTTATCCTTATTGGAGCACATGCATATGAGATTACTTCTAGTCAGTATACTTACATGGCCAAGTAGGTTGTGGTTGTGCCCTAGATGATAAAAAAACCTTTGTTTTTCTTCCCATTCACTTTTAGACTTTCTTGCACACATAAAACACCAACATGGATTGATCGCAACATTTCAATTTGGTAGCATGAGTCCCATAGAGCCTCATCAATCAATTCCAATGACTTGCCTTCTTTATAGAGTCTCCATGCCTGAATAATCCACTACAATATTAGCAGTACAAGACACAAAATCCTCTATCTCAAAATTTCTTTGTTCTCCTTTCTCAAGACACTCACAGTTAGATTACGCCCCAAGATACCCGTACCTCAAGATTCTCAAGGATCCAATGACTGAGTGTTTCAGAACAGAAGGAAGAGATAATTTAGGAATAAAGGATCTTTTATCCTTATTGGAGCACATGCATATGAGATTACTTCTAGTCAGTATACTTACATGGCCAAGTAGGTTGTGGTTGTGCCCTAGATGATAAAAAAACCTTTGTTTTTCTTCCCATTCACAATGTCTAACACCAAAACGCCAAAGCTGAATACATCTGATTTTATTGAAAATAACCCATCTATTGCATACTCTGGAGACATGCACCCACTGTAACAAAACACAGAATGAAAAACTGGATTTTGAAGTAACAATATAAGTGAATTAAACAAAACATATTATAGAGATTCTTACTATGTTCCAATCACTCTATTTGTATTTGCTTCTGTCTCATTTCCTCCAAAACTTCTAGCTATTCCAAAATCTGATATTTTTGGGTTCATGTCAGTATCTAGCAAAATATTGCTAGCTTCGAGATCTCTGTGAATAATTCTCAGCCTAGAATCTTGATGAAGATAAAGAAGTCCCCGTGCAATCCCATTAATAATGTGGAAGCGCTTTGACCAATCCAGTAATGTGCTTTGGCTTTGATCTGTCCATTTTTTTTTGTCTGATTTAGTCCACACTCTTGCTAATTTAACGGATAAATTTAACAAGATTCCTCAATGGAAAATCCCAAATTTTAGAAGACCATGTTCATGCAAATGCACATGTAATAAAAACCACATATAATTTCGTTCCCATTATCAAATAAAGCACAAGGTTTGTATGAAACCAAAAATAAACAAAAAAAAAAATATATAGGAAAAAGGAAAGAAAGAACGACTGCTGGTTGTGGTCTTAGAGTGGAATAGTTGCAATATATATAGTATTATAGTTTTGAAGAGAGCCAAATCAAATATAAAACAGTCCAGGCTTTTGCTGGGCATGTATTCGTAGATTAACATCATTTCTTCTCCTTGAATGCAGCATCCTAGAAGCTTCACAAGATTTCGGTGCTGAAGTTTGGCAATACAGATAACTTCATTCTTGAACTCATCAAGTCCTTGGCTAGAATTTTTTGAGAGCCGTTTCACAGCTATTTCTTGTCCTCCTTCTAGTGTACCCTGAGAATTACCATTATAATTGATAGAATGATCTTCTGCTAGAATTAGCTTGAAAGCAAACGAATTATTATTATTATTATTATTATTATTATTATTATTATTATTATTTTTGGCCATTCTTATTAATTGTGTCTTTACTTGCTGTTTTTATGTTGCTCTGGCTGACATTGTTCCAACAAGTGCAGCTATGACCAGTGATTTATGTTACAACTACTTAAACGACAAAAATTACATAGATTTATGAAGTTTCATAGGGAGAAAGGATGCATCAAACCAATTGTCTTCTTTGAAAGTTGAAAGACAAATATAAAATTCCACTTCTCAAAAGCAGGCATAATTATAAAAATTTTATCTTCAGAATAGTGGGGTCTGTATTAAAAGATTTAGTAAGTTTAGGAATACAATTTTTTTTTCTTCTAAAAGTGGGGACCCAAACATCAAGATGAATGCAGTGCTGCAGCCTACAAAACAACATTCTATGTACCTTTTTGTAGAAATTTTTTTGTGTTTGTAGCATTACTATTTATGAAAAAGCAATGATAAAAAAGTTGAATGGTTTTATGGCTTCTGGATAGGCTCCATGAGATTGGGCATTGATCCTGTAGACAGGTCCGAATCCACCCTCTCCAATCTTATTGTTGATTGAAAAATTATTTGTGGAATCAGCTATTATGGTTAAGTCAAACAATGGTAACTCTAGATCTTCTTGTTGGGTTTTGTCAGTGTAACCTTGTTCAGACTTGTGCATCAGAATTCCTGTAAAGCCGGGACAAAATGGAGATCAATATGACAAGTAGTTCTAAAATGTAACATACCAGTACATTGTTTAACACAGAATGACACAAATGGATATATACCTTCTCTGTTCAGCTGTGAATTCCTCCTTTTCCTTTTTCGGAGATACACGATTAGGCTTATACCCATCAGAAGAATTCCAATTAACAATGCCAAGGTCACTGCCACTATCTCTCTTTTCTTGCTATGGACTGTTGAATCATCAATCCGTTTAACAAAAATGGTCAATGGATCAGTTAGATAATACAATTATGAAAGCACAAACTTAAAAGGGATTGCTTTAGGTTTCAAAAATTGTTATGGAAAAAGGGATGAAAAAAAGCTAAACAAAACAAACACACAAGCATGCAAGAATTTACAAGCTCAGGGGCAGAATCAGAAATTGTGACTTGAGGGGGCCAAACCAGTAGAAAGTATTTTCACCAATCAGGGCGACTCGAGATGCCCTTGATAGAGTCAGAAGGAAAAGAATGATTCATATAACCGACTCCATTTGATGGGACTTAAGGTTTGGTTTGGTTAGGGCGACTCGAGATAATTTGAAATCTAAAGGGATCATTTTACATGAGGTTCTCTACAATTTTCAATATTGTTTTAATTTTTTTATTTAAAATTTATTCTCTTTTTGAGATGAAAAAAAAAAAACTAATAATTAAATCTCCTATTCAAATTTCATTAATATATTCTTTTACTTGATAATATGGCTAATTCACTTAATCTTTCTTGTGATAGACAATTTTAGGTAGAATTTTATCATTTTTAATTTTAAAATTTCTATGAGCAAATCTTTCTATAATTTTATATAAGATAGACATAAAGTTATAAAAATAATATAGTAAAATATCTCAACAACATAAGTTTGGTCGTTTGATGATGATACGGTTTTGAAAATTTATTTTGCGATTTAAAGTTGACCAAAAAGAGAGTTATGTAGTAGAAAGACAGTTTAGGTGCCGATAAAAGTGAAGATGGTAGCTGATTGGGCTTTTTTATAGCTATTCTTGTATTGATAAATAAATCTGGTAGTCATTTTTTTTTTTAAGCCAATGATTTTTTTTTAAAAAAAATTTATTTTAAAGTTAACTAGCTTAGTTGATTTTCAGCCTTCATTTTTAAACCAAGGTCTTTGGTAAAATAAAAGTAAGGTTGTGTTCTGATCAAGAATTTGACAAAAGATTTGTGGAGAAAAAGGAAAAGGGTAGAGAAAAGTAAATGAAATATATGTTAAATTATTTTCACTCTTCCTCTTCTTTTTTTTCCCTCCACAAGTTTCCTTTAAATCTTTGATCCAAACACAACCTCAAGTGGAGGTTGCTTTAAGAGTCTATGCTTTTTTGAAAAAATATAAATATTTTATTTTATTTTTAAAATGGGGGTGCCATGGCCCCCTCCTGTCCCTGCACAATTCTGCTGCCAAGCCTACATCCATGGCGAAGAATCATGCAGTTTCACTTGAGTATAAAGATCAAAGATCATCATAACTCTAAAAAGGCAAGTTTGAAAACGATAGAGAAAGAAATGATATAGAGATAAGGAAATTGAGCAAGGCGGGTGGATCCCAGTAGTGAATCATAGGAAAAGGCGACAAGTATGGAGCAAGGAAGCAAGAAAAGGTTTTTTCTCTGTATTTGTGGATAATATACCACAGAAGATGGATCCTAAAGCTTTGTTTCAACTATTCACAAAGTTTGGAGTAGTGAGGGATGTTTTTATCCCACAGAAGAGAAGGAAGGCCACAAACACTAGATTTGGTTTTGTTAGATTTGATTGCTCCGTAGCGGCGAACATCGCTGTCCAGAAAGCCAACGGATTGTGGGTCAAGGATAGAGAGCTTAAAGTCAATATGGCAGAGTATGGCAGAATCGAGGATAGATCAGTTAAAAGAAACCAATCTGGAGGGATTTTTGGTGGACATGAAGATAGGGGAAGGTTTGATCGAGCTCGTCATGGTTTACAGAGATCCTTTGCAGATGTGGTCAAAGACGGAATCGATACACCGATGGGCACAACAGCATCTACCATTAAGGTAAATGAAGAAGGGCATGGTTGGTTATTTGAGAGCGCGATTTTGAAATTCAAGACAGAGTACTCTTTGCAAAGCATTCGGATGGTGCTTAAAGAGAACGGATTGGGACATGTGTTGGCTAGAAAGGGAGGTGGCAGGAAAGTAGTCTTCACTTTCTTGTCTAAAGAGGATATGTTGGCTAACATATTGGCGATTAAACAATGGTTCAAGGATTGGTGTGAGTCTATTAAAATCTGGGAACCAGACGATACAGCAGAGAAAGAAAGGTGCCTGTGGCTCAGATGTTATGGTGTCCCCTTGAGCATGTGGAATAGAAGCACTTTTAACAAGATTGGTAGCGTGTGGGGTAGTGTTCTAAGTTTGGATGGGAATATCAGTCAACCTGAGACTTTCAGCCATGGCAGAGTCAGAATTGCAACGGGCTGTATGGAGTTTATCAATCAGACGATTAAGTTGGAATGTAAAGGGAGAATCCATTCAGTTTTGGTTTGTGAAGAACAACCACATATTTCGTTTGACAGTGGAAGCATATTATCCAGCGAGTGGGTGGAAGACCGTGACTCTAATGAGGTTGATAAGCAAGATTCCATAGGGGTGGGTCATGAAGATAAGTCTGTTGATAATCTGGTAGTGGAGGATGAAGATGATGAAGCTGAGCTGGAAACCAATCTGGTTGACACCATAGTTGAAGAGACTACAAGTGGAGTGGGGAACAACTTGGTGGTTGAGGAGCGTATGGAGGTGGCGGTGGCAGAGAGTAGCCTTGAGGCTAATGATGACAATCTAAGGATTGAGGAGCAGCTATGTACACCTAGCTTTCTTAAGAGTTTAAATGGGGCTGATGTTCATGGGTCGGGTATTAGCCTTGAAGTAAATTTGGGCCATTTATATGATCCAGTGGAGTACAATAGATCTGATATTGTAGTGAGGGGTCCAAATATACAACCTAATGGATTAACTAATTCTATTTGGGCTCCTAAAAGACCCAGCATGCCTACGGTGCAAACAACTCCACATGGAGCTAGAAACAGCAGAATTAATGATCAGAAGTCAAAAAGGAAAGGTAAAAGAAAGGTAAGTTTTGTTGGAGCATCAAAATCAGCTAATGAGGTTAGTGGGTATGCATACCTTGCTCGTTTATATGGTCATAAATGTGCATCATCAAGCAAGTCCTCCCCTAAATGCGCTGTTTTTAGGGCTGTTGCTTCAGCTTTGTCTCTATCTGCTTCTAATGAGAGCCACTCTGGCAGTAGAAGCCATATCCTTAGTGAGGCACAAGCAAACATTCAGTTGGGGAAAATTCTGGGCATTAACTATAAAGGCAAAGAGGCGGAAGTTCTGGAAAAAATGGTGGACCTAGAAGGTGTTGACAGAGTAAGGAGGAAGATGAAGAAGAAAGAATAGGAGCATTAAGTCTCTCTATGGGGTCTGAATGGTATTAAAATTGTTTTCTAATGAAGTTGATGTCTTGGAATGTTAGAGGATTGGGGAAGCTAGAAAAGAGGGGAAGGATTAGGAAGCTCATCTATGAAAGAAAGGTGGATATGGTGCTTCTTCAGGAGACAAAACAAGCTTCTATTACTGAGAATGTTGTTAGAGCTTTGTGGGGTAAGAGAAACATGGAGTTTATGGCTGTGGGTTCTGAAAGGACTGCTGGGGGTCTTCTTTGTATCTGGGACCCAGATTTTTTTCAGCTGGTAGATTGTTGCAGTAATAGAAGATTTGTTCTCTTATCAGGTATTTTGTTAAATACTTTTGAGTGTACTGTTGTGAATGTATATGCCCCCAATGAGGTGGGTAGCATATGCAAATTTTGGGATTCCTTACTCAAATTAAAATCTGAGTTCCCAAAACCATGGTGTTTGGGGGGAGATTTGAATGAGATTAGGAATATTGGCGAAAGGGTGGGCTGTTCCAGAAGAGATAAAGGAATGAGGGATCTAAATTCTTTCATAGAGAGTTGTGAGTTGCACGATCTACCTTTGTTAGGCAGGAAGTTCACATGGTGCAATGCTCAAGATGGGGAGAAATGGAGTAGGATCGATAGAATTCTGCTTAATCCGGAGTGGCTGCTGAGGTATAATTTCAAAGTTTGGGGTCTTCCTAGGCTTTTTTCTGATCATTGCCCTATTTTGTTAATGGATGACGTGAGGGATTAGGGGCCTAAGCCTTTTAGGTTCATTAATGCTTGGACTAGTCATCCTAGTTTTCCCTCTTTAGTGGCTAAGGTTTGGCATGAATCTAGCATTATTGGGAGGGCTGGGTATGTTTTGTTTCAGAAACTGAAAATTCTAAAGGTGGAGCTTAAAAAATGGAATTTTGAAGTTTTTGGGAATCTTGTTACAAAACTCAAGAAGGCAGAGGAGGAGTTGGTTGAGCTGGACATTGTGGCTGAAGATAGACATCTGGTAGAGGCTGAGAGGAGCAGAAGAAAGGAAGTGAGAGTTGAAGTTTGGAAGCTTAATCGTATGATGGAATGGCTATGGCAACAAAAATCTAGAGTAAATTGGACCATTAATGGAGACAAAAATACTAAGTATTTTCATCTTATGGCTAGCAGCAGAAGGAGTAGAAATTCTATTTCTACCATCACAATAGAAGGAGAAGTGTTTGAAGAGCCAGAGAAGGTAAGGTATGAGGTTGTACAACATTTTAAGTGGCAATACACTGAAAGGTGGAAAAGAAGACCAGTGTTGGGTGGTACCTTTAAATCAGTTTCAGAAAGTGCTACGTTCCATGCTCTGGAAGTTGATTTTTCTGTAGATGAAGTTAAGGCAACTGTTATGGAGTGTAGTGGTGATAAGGCGCCAGGCCCTGATGGGTTTAATTTGTTGTTTTTCTAGAAATTCTAGAAGATAGTTCATCCTGAGGTTATGCTTTTCTTGCAGGATTTTCATGCTTCTAGCAAGCTTTCCTATGGTTGTAACAGTTCATTTATCACTCTTATACCTAAGTCTGATAACCCCATTGGACTGTCAAATTATCGGCCTATTGGTTTGGTGGGTAGTATGTACAAAATTCTCTCCAAGGTTCTGGCTAATAGACTTAAGAGAGTTCTTCCTACTGTTATTGGTGAAACACAATCTGCTTTCTTGGGAGGGCG